ATAGGTTTATTAATTTGTGAATATCAAATGTTTCATTACAATTAACATACTAAATGAATATGTAATTCCACCAAAAGAAAAAGAAAAAAAGGATTTCTTTATCCTATTAGCTTGAAAATGGCCAAATGTCAAACCAGCAGTTATGGCCATAGGTCTTAGTATTTTTCCAGATCTCAAAAAGATTTTTCAATCATTAAGTTAAAAAAGAAAAAAGCAAAGAAGGTTTCATACATGGAATTTCTAGCTATATTAGTGAGAAAATGTACATGTCTTCAGATAAAACAATCCAGGCATATTTTATTACTACTAAATAATAAATGCATAAGAGGAATTCTTTGGTAAAATAAAGGCTGAATTATGCAAGCAAAATAGAATGACTTTTGTAATATTGTTTATATTTTTTCAGAGTTGTGGGCCAACTAGAGATTTAAAGGGGGAAGTTTTAATGTTAGTGCTGATGTATAGGTCATGGGATTAAGTATAGATGCTTGATTTCTTTGTTTTTTATTGTTTTGTTTTTATGGTGCTGGGGATTAAACCCAGGGCCTCTGGCATTCTGAGCAGCTGTGCTCAGAATGTGCTGCCACTAAACTATGCCCCCAGGCCAACTTGGGGCATGAATGTGATCTCTCCTACTCCACCAACTCTGGAGGGCCAGTGTCCCAAATTAAAATACAAGAGCCAGTACCTTAAAACTATGTCCAAAAAAATGAAAAACTGTCTAAAATTTATTTGTAATTTAATTCCTTTTATCTACCATGCTTTTCTTGTTCTTTCTTTTTTCTTCCATGTTTTTTTGTTGGTACATTATAGTTGAACATTACTGATGGGATTTGTTGTTACATATTCATACATGCACACAGTATAACAATATAATTTGGCCAATATCACTCCCCAGCACTTTCCTCTTTCCTCCCCACCTACTTTCTTGGTTTTGAAATATGTACGTGTAGTCATTCTTCATAATCAATATACTAAAACTTGTAATTTTGTCAGGCCTTTAAAAGCCTAGGGATCCAGATGTAAGCATCAACCACCATGGGCTTCTCCATTGGCCCAGTTCCCCCATTTTGTGCCTCAATTTTGTCTACATACTTAATATCTTTTTTTTTCTTACCCTACATGATATTAACATCATCTCCTAATAGATCTTTTTTACCCCTTCATATGACGTAAAGCACCTCAAGAATATTCGGCATGGTGATCCATGCCTGTAATTCCAGCAGCTCAGGAGACTGAGGCAGGAGGAGTGCGAGTTCAAAGCCAGCCTCAGCAAAAGAAAGGCACTAAACACTCAGTGAGACCCTGTCTCTAAATAAAATACAAAACAGGGCTGGGGATGTGGCTCAGTGATCAAGCGCCCTGAGTTCAATCCCCAACACACATACACACACACATAAAAAAAAAAAAAAGAATATTTGGCTTTATTTCCCTAGTGTCTGACATCAATAGGAGCTTAGTAAATGTATGCTGAATAAAATCCAACTAGCCCCCAATAAAATGTGTCTTCTTGCAGTGTGGTGTCCTACATCAGTGTCCTCAGACTATAGCTGTCACGCAAGCCATGAATCCTGGATGGCATATTGAGTCAGTAGTCAGGAGGAGGATCTTTTTCTGCATCCCTCTAGTCCAGGAATGTAGTGGTAGGATAAAAATCTAACAATAAATATCATGGATTGGGTTGGGGGGTGGATAGAAGAAAAAGGAAACTGAACTGCAAATAAAACAAGTAAACAATTTATTTCCCTATTTTATCTTTTGAAATAGGCTCCAATAGCCCATTCCAATATCTTTATATTTCCTTAGCGATTTTAAAGTTTGTGAATTCATTTTTAAATGATAGAGGAAGGTGCAGTCTCAATCTTCAGAGTTCCTTCAACAACTTTATAATTTCTACTTTGCATACAAAGTAAGCACAGTATGACAAATCCCACCAAAATAATGTCTTTACCTGTGTATATTAGAAACTGGAAATATGAAGATCTTGCAAAAAAAAAAAAGAGTCGGGGAGGAACAATGTCAGGGAGACAAAGGTAGGAAGGATTTGGGGAAAATGAAGGAAATTCTCATTTTTTTCTTATGGAGTTTTAACAAGTGATAAAGCTTCAAGGATGGTCATGAATTCCTGTGATACACTGGGAAAAGTAGTAAACTGAGAGTTTAAACAATTTACTTTCTTCAGTTTTTACCATGCGAAAGCTGTGTGATCTTGGGAAGATCATTTAACCTCATTTTCTTGCCTATAAAATGAGCACGTAAGCATACCTATGAGGTGGGGGACAGGCAGAACATATTAACACATTTACATAAAAGCTCTTTATAACAGGAGGAAGTTAAAAGGAAAATAAATCTTGTCACCACAGAAGTTAAAATAAGGGTGTTTACTGTCAGATCGTTTAAATTTAAAAAGTATTGCAGAGAACTTTACCCTTCCCTGGACAAACCTCCTCCATGAGCCTATGGCCCAGTTCAAGTTCAAGGGGAGAAAGCCTTGTTCAGGAAGGAAAGTATGACAGCAAAGCAGTCTGGAAGTGTTTTCAGTTCCCTCTTAAAAGATCCCTGGAGGGGGATTCTGACCTTGCCTGGAGATCATAAAGGAGAGTGTTATCATGATGGGCTCTGGAACAGGAATGTGCTTAAGAAGTGCATTTTAGAACTGCCTCACTCCTTCCAGAAACCTCCAGAGATTGCCTGAGACCTCACTATGACTAGCAAGCTGTGTCTGGTTATAATTGAGTCAGATTTTTGTTAAGCATGATTTCTGTGGTAAGTTGAATTTTTATTTGAGTATTTTAGTCAGTTGAATTTTTTAAATGTTTTGTAGTCGTTACTGAACCTTTCTTTATTTATTTATATGCATGCTGAGAATCAAACCCAGTGTCTCACACAGCTAGGCAAGGGTTCTACCACTGAGCCACAACCCCTAATTAGTCATATTTTAATTGGACCTAATTCATGGCTGATTTTTCTCAGAATATCCTTCTACCTGTTTGTACCTGAATCACCTGTTTTGAGTATAAGTAGTTTTACTTTTAATCCAGACAATGAATTTTGAGTATCCTAAGCATACTTCCAGGCTTCCTGAAATAGCTGCCTCACTACCTGTAGATAGGCAAGTTTAGTCCTACTCACTATGAGGGCCCCTCATGATCAAGCACAGTTGTGTAGTTGGAAGTCTGCTTATGTCAACTAGTGAGGCTTTGTGATGAGCCTTTGTTCCAAGCTCAGAGTGAAATGTGGCCCAGGAGCCCAAATGTCTATGTAGGTGTCCAGCTGCATGCCTCAGCTTCTCACAGGCTGACCCTCTGCTCTGCATCTCTACCTACTCACCTGGGTCCTTCTTAACAACCTGCCTAGCTCTTGCCAGGCCTTTCTCACTGGGGATTCCTCCTCCTCCACACACATTGCTACCGCCTGGATTCTCCCAGCTGTACAACTTACAGTATTGTACCGTCTAGAGACTCCTGTTGCCATGCCTCACACTTGAGAACAGACTTCCTGACGCTATTAAAGCCAGCCCAGATGAATCCAAGTTAATCACATCCGCATGAACACTGTGATTTGAACTGCTGGCCATCCCTGAGGGAGCCAGCCCATAACCCAGTATCTCCCTGGACATTCTGGGTTTCTTCCCATTGCGGACACCTGCTGCTAGGATTTCAGTAGATGCCAGTACTACCTAGGGAGGGTTCCAACTTCAATCATGCCAGCATGGTCACAAATTCTAAAGGGACACAAAAGGAGGTTATTATGGAAAAAAGAAGTCTTAACTATTCTTTGCCTCCACTGAGGGTAAACTCAGAGGAAACTCTGAGTAATGTATGAACAGGAAGTGCTTTAGTACTGTGACATAAATTATTTATTAGTGGACAAAGTGAAATACAGTTTGCTCTCTCAAATAGTACCCTCAGTTAAAATACAACGGTATTCACCTGCTGCATCAAAATGTTTTAAAAATTATGTAATTATTGCAGCAGGACCCTAACATCAGCATCTAAAATGCAGCCTCTAAAGCTAAATGCAGTCTTTTAAAAGACTAATTAGCTGGAAAATTAGGAATGCTCAAGGATGAACAATCCAGGTCTTTCATGGAAAGAGTATCCAGCCACTGGGAAGTCGGTAAAGCTCCAGTGACAGAAGGCACTCTTTGGCTGTCAACCAGACTGAATCCATTACACCTGCTGAATCTGTCTGGAGTCCATTTCCTACTAGGGACCACTAACTGACCAGTCATCCAGATGTGCTATGAGTGTTCTGCCACCTATTTTGGAGAAACATGATCTTTTTATTACCTGTCTATAGCTGGGGGAATTTTCCATTCTCCTCCAGGGCCCTTTGTTCTTTGGGTGAGTGTTGTGTTGTTGCATAGAGATTTAAATTCACCAGCAGCTTTCCCCCTCTCTATGCAGTGCTGACTCATTTTCCCTAGACACTTGTTCATATGCAGCTTGCTGTGGTTCCTTGATCTCTCTTGCCAAGTGAAAGCATTTGTGAGGTATTGGAAGCCTATTACTGTGGTTTTATCCAGCTGTCCTTGTTTGGTATTTTGGCAAAAGAGTTCTACTCTGCATTTGTTCCATTATTTCTATTCCTGCCTTTCAAGTAGAACCAGGTTAGCAAATGACAGAAAATTAAATCCAGATGATTTGTGATAAGAAGTGTTTAAAAAAAAAATAGGACTACTCAGTCATAAAGAATGCTCAGAATGAGATTATGCAAATACTTCTATTATCACACCTTCCAGTGGTAAGGGCACTCTTGATTCTGAGGCAAGGCAACAAAATTCTGGTTAGCTTTATATTTATTTAATTTTTCTGTTTTAAATGAGCAGAAGCTCACTGAAGCATAAAAGAAATTATGTTTTTAAAAGAGCCTGCCTTATAATCACCTAGGTGCTTCACAGCTCAACAGAGATGATGAATAAATTTGCTTTGGCATCATAGTTTATAATTTACGCATGCACTTGCAACAGAAATGGTTGTCACACTTATTAATTTCAGGAAACTTGTGATTTGGAAAAGATAAAGCCTGAAGCCAGACGATACTTGGAAAAGTCAGTTAAAATGGGAAAAAGGAACGGACTCCATCTTCCAGAACAAGTACAAAATGTGAGTTTATGTTTCTTTTTCTTACTGGGGACAAAATGAATAAATAAAATACAACAGAAATAAGGAAATAGGGAAGCAGTTGGAGTGTAATAAAATAACCCATAATAAAGATGCATTTACAATGTGTTTGGTATTCTATGTTTTAAATCCTATAACTCCTGTTAACCTCATGGTACTGACAAACAACTAATAATTGTTTTTAAATTCTGTCCAGGTTTTATTTGTTTTATGTGTGTTGGGTTATTTCCCCTGATCTATTTTATATTCTTTGTTGGTTCGAGATCTTAATAGTTGGCTTGTATGTTCTTTCTCTTGGACATACAGAGATAGAGCACTGGTAATAAACTCTTTATTGATGGAGAATTTTAAAACCAGCACTTTGGAATGGAGCATACTATGATTGATATATGCTTCTTTTATAAAGAGAGATTAGCTGCTGGAAAGTGCTTCTCAAAATTTTATTTTGTCTAAGGCCAATCCTTCTAGGTTCAGAACTAAACTTGGCTGCAGAATTAACCTCATTCTTCTTAGACAGGAAATATAATTCATATTTATTTCCAGATCAGTCTTCTAGAGAGCAGACCCGGAAATAAGTTTGAAAGAAATCCAGCCCAAATGTCATCATGATAGATATAAATAAAGACACCACTGAGACATGTACCCTTCTGCCACCTCAATGCCCTTTGATCACCTTATGTCATCTTCATCCTCATTAGAGGAGAAAGGCACTTGATCTGCTTGTCTGACCCTTTGCCTTCCTGGCCAATCCTTCAGTTCTATAGTATGAAAACTATAAGGGTACAATGTGTTTAGTTGTAGCTAACAAAATTCCCTTTAAAAAAAAATAGATGATATTTAGTCATTTGTGTAACTGGAAGATGCAGAGGTAAATGGGCTTTATGGTTTATTTGAATCTAGATGACCAGTGGTGCCTCCTTATTTTTCTTGCCTCTATTCTGTCTTCTTTAGTATTAGTGTTATCCAAAGGCTGACTTCCTTTTATTACTAAAGTAGCTGAAAACTCCCCCATCCAGAAGGACTTTGGGAAGCTCCTATCAAACCTCCCTTTGTGTCTTTGTGACCCACAGTGGATATTGGACCTAATCCTCAATCCCCCATCAGACACTGATGCTTCTTATCAACACCACAGTTTGAGAACCAGTGTAGTTTAAGTAAATTTCATTATCTAGCATTGTCAAAAGAATGGGACACATTAATCAAATTTTTTTTGTTATAGATTGCTTATTACTTCCTTGCATCTCCAACCTAATACTTTTCTGCAAATGTTAGTCAGAGGAATGCCAGGCTTGGGTTATTTGAACAAGTCACCACAAGGAAGATAGAGTAGTTTCTTCAACTTTGTAGAGGATACACCCCTGGAACTTCAGATAGGATCAAAGGAGGAGTGATGGAAGGGAAATTGGAAAGACAAAGTATCCTAAGAAAAGCAGTGAACAATATGTGTTAAGGCAGTAGTCTCAAAGTTAAAGTGCACTGAAATTACTTGTGGGGCTTGTTGAAAGTCTGGTTATAGCACCCCACTCTCAAGAGTTGGCATTTCAGTAGGTTTAACGTAGGTTCTCAGGAAACTTCATTTCTAACAGGTTCCCAGTTGATGTAGCATTGTTAGAAGAATGGGACAGATTAATACAGTTTTCCTTGTGTTTTCTTGCTTATTGATCTCCCACCTAATACTTTTGATGCAAATGTTAAGGTTCATAAATCACCTTTGTTAGCAAATGCTTTGTAAAACTAAGATATTACCTTTTTTCCAAAACAACCTTAGAATTAATTACTTAGTACTTTTCTCTTGGTTTGCTTCAGCACCAGATCCAGATTACTTAATTAAAAGATTGGAATTGGAAAAGATTAGAAATATGCTTATATTGGTGATGGGCTACTAGATTTATTAATTTATCAAACATCTATTTATTGTGTGTGCACAGTGTACCAGATACTACATTTATTATAACTTTTACATACTCTTATTATAATTATTAATCTGTTTAGTTCTTCAAATTTACAATTAATTTATAATGCACCACGAAACTTGCCTTTCTTGCATCCACAGGCATAAGGGAGAAGACTGCCAGCACCTGCTTTCCCAAGCACATCTCAAAGTACTTCCTGAGGGTTGGGTACCAAATCCAGTCTGCATATAAGAGTGAAACTTATTTAACCAATGAAGATAAAAAATGAAAGTTTCTTTTTACTGCTAATGTTATATATATTTTTCTACATTTCAGGAAATCAAATCGATGAAGAAAAAAATGAGTGAGCTATGTATTGACTTTAACAAAAATCTCAATGAGGATGATACCTTCCTGGTATTTTCCAAGGCTGAACTTGGTAAAATTCTGTTATTTTTCTAGATCAAAGTATATAATTTAGGGCTGGGGATGTGGCTCAAGCGGTAGCGCGCTCGCCTGGCATGCGTGCAGCCCGGGTTCGATCCTCAGCACCACATACAAACAAAATGTTGTGTCCACCGAAAACTAAAAAAAAAAAAATATTAAAATTCTCTCTCTCAAAAAAAAAAACCAAAGTATATAATTTAGGCAAATAATGTCACCTCATAGATTGCCGTGCTTTCCAGACAGAAAACTTAAATCAGAATTCAAAATATTCTTTTAAAAAATCATGCAATTCCTATACCCATCACTCCTCCTACAGAAACAACAACTGAAGCAGCCAAAATTAGGCTTTAGGCTAATAAGAATGTAAACTATTTCTAGAGACAGTCCAGAGGAGATTTCATAATTTTTCCCCATAATCTTTTTTAGTAATTTATGCTGGTATTTAATAGCCTTCAGGGCCCTGAACTTTTTTTCTACCTTGCAGTGTCCCCTGCATTGTCACTTAAACTAATCTCTTACTCTGTTCTGGGTCTTCCTTGGCTTAATTTTTTCTACTCTTCATGAAAATGCCATCTGTTCAGGTGCACGGAAGCCTATTCATAGTTTGAATTACCATTCCTGAGCCACCTGGCCTCTCACCACCACTCCTATTCCAACAAAATCAAAATTATAATATAGGGATTGTCATATTTTACTTGAATTTCAATTACTCCACCAAATTCCTAGAGCTACTTAGAGGCACCATGCCAATGCTAAATAAACTAGTAATGAGTGGAAAAAGTGATGTATAAGAAAATGATTTTTTGCAGGTGCTCTTCCTGATGATTTCATTGACAGTTTAGAAAAGACAGGTGATGACAAGTATAAAATTACCTTAAAATATCCACACTATTTTCCTGTCATGAAGAAATGTTGTGTCCCCGAAACCAGAAGGAAGATGGAAATGGCTTTTAATACAAGATGCAAAGAGGTAATACATACATTTGTCTTTCTTTTGTTTTTAATAGAAGATTTTAAGGAAGAGGTTTGCTTTGTTTACCAATATTGAATTCATCTCAGCGGCAATATTCCTATTTGTGTATGCATCGCACCTTCTAATTCCCCAGGACTATAAGACCTTTAGGTTTGGCTCAGTGGAACCTGCTTTGTATGGCCATAGACTAAACTGTTCTGATAAAAATAGAATGGGTGTCATAAATTAGAAGTTGTATTCCTTTCCCAAGTCAGCATTACAAGGCTGGTAAGGTATCTCTCCTTCTGTAACAATTGACTTCCAACATCATTCCTGAAAATGATTTTTCCCCAGCCTGTTGAGAAGGTGGGAGAAAGACAGTACAGGCCAGGACCTAGAAGCAACTGACATCAACTCCATTCACATCCCATTAATTCACATTTCATCCTGTAGCTGTATCTAGATCCAAAGGAAGCTGAGATGTAATCTTTTGTTGACAAACAGTTGCTCAGCTTAGAGGGTTTTATTATTAAAAGGAAGTAGAAATGGATTCTTAGCCAACTAGCGTATTCCACCATTGTCTGTTCCTCTAGCTACTTGGGTAACCATGAACACCCTTTTTTTCATAGAACCATTTGTCAGTTCCCATCCAGTTATTGCCTTGAGCTCGAAGATCAAGATCTCTGTGGGACACACAGTTCTTCGTAGTGATAGCTTCTCATGATCTAGCAGTCTATGAAAGTAAGACATTTTATCATCTACTTCACCCTGCTATAAATAAATAAATAAATAAATAGAAATAAGTAGCCCTCCCATTTGGAAAAGGAAAGAATGAGAAACAGCAGACACAACAGTTTTCAACAACTGGCAGAAATTAGGATTCCATGCTCTGGTGAAGTTCCTTGGATTTATTTGGGTCTGCCTTCTCCGAGTATTCCTTTATCAGTGGTACTCCGTGGTCTTAGATTTTGCCTGCAGGGCGTTCTTTCGTGACCATATCTTAGAGTACTGCTAGTTCCAGTATGAAATGTATGCTAGTGCCAGTTTGAAGAGTTAGGATTACTTTATTAGTCAAATAACCACACGACTAGGCCAGGCCTTATATCATCCTGGTAATAAAATTCCTTCAGAAACTTAAGTTTCTCATCTGTTTTCTTCCATAATAACTATACCAAATATTGCTTTTGACCATAATTCCTGCCAGATCTTACATGCTGACTTGTGTATTTTGTCCATCCTTCTCTTCTTCAATTTAATGGAGTCTGCTTTGGAGCCTTTCGAAAAGCAGGCTTAAGAAGGAAGGCAGTATTCTCAAACTAATCTCTGCAATTCAGTCACTCCAAGTGACATTCTTTCCTCCTGATGTTAGAAACAGAGCAAGTGGCTTTTCTAGCCATCTGAAACCCATATTATAGACCACAGCAGAACCTTCCTTAGCAAAATTCTTTTCCTTTTATTTTTGTAAATTGGTCAATACTCACATGAGCTCACCTCTCTCATTTGATCCTTTCAAAAGCAACGTATACCAACAAACAGGCCAACATTGTTAGTTTTCCCAAACAGTTTATTTGAAGCTAAGACTTAGTAGGTGCATGGCTTGCTTCTACGTTATAGCAAACAACAGTTTTAACAAATGTTCTTTGTGATATAATAAGGACCACTAGCTTCCCAACCTGGTGAATGCAGAAGCCTCACTTCCATTCTGGTACATTTTTTCATTTTGTTATAGCAGCATCTTGTTTCTGCCACTAGTCTCTGTATGTCAAGGTGCAGACTGAGCAACTTTACAGAGGTCAATCAAAATCATAGTGACCCAAATAAGATCAAAGTTATTTCTTTTCAGAAAGTAGATTAGAGGTTACCAGGGAATATAGAAGCAACCCTGAGCAGTTTTTGTTAATGGTTATAGCATTTCTGTTTAAGATAAATGAATATATAATTAATGCCACTAAATTGGAAATTGGACACTTAAAAAATGGTTAAAGTACAGCCAGGAGTAGTGGTGCATGCCTGTAATACCAGTAGCTAGGGAAGCAGGAATGTTTTTAACTACAATGCATCTGTAGTTAAAATGGCAAATTTGTATGCTTTTTATATTTTACCACAGTAATGGTTTAAAAACGAGTTCAAGGCCAGCCTTGACAACTTAGTAAGACCTATTTCAAAATAAAAAAATAAGAAGGGTTGGGAATGTAGCTAAGTTGTAAAGCAATTCTGGGTTCAATTCCCAGTACTGGAAATACACATATATATTTATATATAACATAACATGTAATATATAGAGTATACATCCTACATATAGTATGTTTTACGTTATATATTTGCCACAATTTTTTAAAGGTTTATTTCTTTGTAACGCACTGCCATTCTCAGTATGTGACTTCTGAAGTCATTGTTGTTACCTTCCTTTCACAACTAGCAAGGCAAGCATCTATAAAGAGATGACCCACCTGGGCATGATGGTACATGCCTATAAACCCAGTGACTCAAAAGGCTGAGGCAGGAGGATGGCAAGTTCAAAGCCAGCCTCAGCAACTTAGTGAAGCCCTCAGCAACTTAGCAAGATCCTGTCTCAAAATAAAATATAAAAAGGGCTGGGGATGTGGCTCAGTGATTAAGTACCCCTGGGTTCACTCCTCGGTACTAAAAAAACAAGAGAGAAAGATAAACCTAGAAATTTCACTCATCATCTCATTTACATTCCATTGTCCCATTAAGTTTTGCATGGCCACAAGTAGATTTAGGATGGGTAGCTGGGTAACCATGTGTTTATCAAAAACTGTTAATAAAAGGAAGAATGAGAGAATAGGTGTTGGAAGAAATTTGGCAATCTGAAGAAAAGATCTGGGGAAATGAAAAAGATGAAAGAAGAATTCAAACTAGTATAATTCAAACTAGAATTATAGTATGTATACATCTCTTATCCATGCTTCCAGATTCTAAAATACTATTAACAGGTAATTATGTAGGATTTGCTCTTATGTCAGACATTTTTCTAAGTACTTTACATTATTCTTATTTGAATCTTCACGTTCACCCTATAATGAGATGAAAAAAGTGGAAGATGAGAGAGCTGAGCCTCAGAAAGGTCAAAGGATTTGTGCAAGGTCAAATAGCTAGTAAGTGGTGGAGCCAAATTTTGAATTCAGGTCTTCCTAGAAATTAGTCCATAAATAATTTGCTGATTTGATTATTAGAATTGGTTTTCTTATGACGTGTATTTACTTCTAGGAGAATTTACTTTTCCTTTTATTATTAAAAAATCAATACATTTCTAAGAGAATTCAAATATAGAAAGTATTTGTAATATCTACTTGGGGAAAAAAATCCCTGAAACATTTTTAAATATTGAGTTCTATGGTGTGTTAGTCTGTTTGTACTGCTATGACAAAATACCACAAATTGGGTAATTTAAAAAAAACAAAGAAATTTATTTTCATAGTTCTTGAGGCTGACAAGTCCAAGATCAAGATGTTGACTTCAGTGTCTGGAAGGGTGCTTCTTGCCACCTGCTCACATGAGAAGGGGGAAGAATGCTGCTCTTCAAATGATAGAAGGGCAAAAATGGCCTACACCTGTTCCTTCAGCTCTTTATTTGGCACTAATCCATTCACGAGTATAGTGCCCTCGTGTCTTTGGTCACTTCCAAAATGACCCCACCTCTTCATATCACAACACAGATTTTCAACATATAAATTTTAGGGGAACATTCAGATCATAGCATGTTACATTAACTGTGTTTACATTATTCTGCAGCCATCACCATCATCCATCCACAGAACTTTTCTGTGCTCCCTAACTGAAACTCTGTGTTCATTAAACACTCCTCCCCATTCTCCTCTGACCCTGGATGCTGACAACAACCATTCTGCTTTCGGTGTCTATGAATTTGCTCTGGAACCTCATATAAATGATATCATGTATCTTTTTGTGAGTGGCATATTTCACTTACCATAATATCTTAAAGGTTCATCCATGTTGTAGTGTGTCCTCCTAAGACTGAATTGTATTCCATTGTGTTAAATGCCATATTTTGTTCTTGTATTCATTTGTCAGTGGACACTTGAATTGCTTCCATTTTTGGCTATTGTAAATGATGCTGCTATAAATGTGTGTAGAAATATCTCTTTGAGTCTCTGCTTTCAATTCTTTTGTATAATATATATTCAGAAGTGAAATTGTGGATCATATGGTAATTTTGTTTGATTTTATGAAGAATATAATTTTCCACAGCAGCTGTACCACTTTATGTCCTCATCAGCAATGCACAAGGGTTCCAATTTCTTTACATCCTTGAACATAGATATACATATATATATGTATATATATATATACATATATACATATACATGTATACTCATATATCTATACTTTAATGCCACATGCTATACATACAGTAGTCATACTAATGCATCTGTAGTTAAAATGACAAATTTTTATGCTTTTTATATTTTACCACAGTAATGGTTTAAAAACATTTGACAGTTTTGCAAACCTCAAAATATAACAACTCTTCTTTTAGTGCTTTGGGTTCACTTATTATCTTTTGGTTTTGCTGTTGTTTATTCCTAGGAAAACACCATCATTCTGCAGCAGCTACTGCCACTGAGGGCCCAAGTGGCCAAGCTACTTGGCTACAATACACATGCTGACTTTGTCCTTGAAATGAATACTGCCAAGAGTACAAGCCGTGTGACAACCTTTCTCGGTCAGTTCTTTTTCTTCTTAAAAAAAAAAAAAAAAAAAGTTATATGGTTTCCATTTCTTTTTTTTTTTTCCCCTGATTTTTTGCTATATCATGTCAATTTAAGGTCTCGAATCAAATATTTCTTTGAGGATATCCAGGTTTTCATTCAATCAAGAGAAATTCATTGAACACCTCTTCTATTAGATAGTGTACTTATTCTAGCGGCTTCTCATGGTTACTATGACATTACTATTATTATTATGACATTACTATTATTCTTCATTCTATCTTTCATGTTGTTTGAGATTTTTATACTGATTCCTCACATGACATCTAAACAGTGTTAGCCCATTGCATTTATTCACTGCCACTAGGTATTTAGTAGTTACAGTTTGGCTATTTATGAATTTGCATGACATAAGCTGACAGATATGATATAAATGGAAACAACACATATTTTTGTTAAATATTTATTTTTTAGTTGTAGTTGGACACAATATCTTTTGTTTTTTATGTGGTGTTGAGGATCGAATCCAGGGCCTCGAACGTGCTAGGTGAGCGCTCTACCACTGAGCCACAATCCCCAGCCCCAAAACAACATATATTTTAAAAAGTAAACATTTTATGCTCCAGAAACCATTTGTCAATGTATGAAGGTAATATAAAATAGCTATATTCACATTCATTTTAAGTCATTTTTTCATAAAGCTTATACAAATCATGGCTCTTATGTCCATGACATTTAGTCTCTGGAACTCTCTCACTTACTTATCCTCTCAGTCCTAGTGTCCCCATTCCAACCATCATTATTTTCTCTTTCATCTTAGTGAAAATGGTTGAATAATTCAGACACAATAAAGATATTATTATTTTTTGTTATTATATCTCTAATCTGAATTAACCATAGTATGATTTCTTTTGTACTTTCCCCACTAACCCCTTCAAACTTTATTCACCTTCAATAACATTCCAAATTATTTCATCTGTTGTTTTGAAATCCTTTTATTAACTTAATTAGGTTGGAGAATGATGTGTTAAATCAGCCATATATGTGTTAAAATCCATCATATATGGATTATGTATTCCACAAATGATATTTATTATTATATAGTTTATTAATTGGGGAGACATTTATGAAATAATTACATAGTATTAGGCATGACAGATTATTATCATACTAAGTGGTAGGATTATAGAAAGGCATATGACAAGTCCTTGCTTCAATGGTTTTTCTACCTAGTGAATGTAACAGGGATGTGAGCAGGTAATTGCCATACAGTCCAATGCATGTTATACAAGAGGATGGTTCAAAGACTTAACAGGTTTGTTGAGGTTTCCTTTAGTGGTGACTACATATTCTGAAATTTCTCCTTCACACATCTGATTAACTTAATTCCTTTAAGGTTGTTTTCTCTCTAATTTGAAAGTGGCTTATTCTCAAGTGAATTGTCCTGTTGCTGCCTACATTTATATATTCTCTCACAAGCTGTGTTAGTTAGCTTTCTGTCACTGTGACAAAATACCTGAGAAAATCAACTTAAGGAAGGAAAGGTCTATATGTTCTTTCTGGACCTGTGGTGAAGAGCATCATGGTGAAAGATGGCACAAAACTGCTTACCTTATGGCAGCCAGAAAGAAAGGAAGGGTTGGGGGGCAGGGAGAATGAGCACATAAGAAAACACATAAGAGGGAGGGGATAGGTACAAAATATATCCTTTAAAAGCCTTCCCCCATGACCTACTTCCTCCAGTTAGGCCCCACTCCCTAAAGGTTGTGCCACCTCCTTATAGGACCATAGGCTGGCAAACAAGCCTTTAGCACATAGCCTTTGGACAACATTTCAGATCTAAAACATAACAGGCCTAATCAAAACTATATCTCTTTGTATCCTCTCTGAGTGTCCTCCTCTTTCTTCACGGCATTTCTCAGACTACTGCCTCCATCTCACAGCGTGGGGCAACCTCTAAACTCCCATGTCCCTCGCAAACCCAAGCATACTTTTATCTTAACATATGTAACAAACTGTGACAAATAAATACAGAAGCACATACTCATTTAGCCAAATAAAAAACAAGTAGTTAACAGTTGAAGATAGTAAATAAAGCATGGTGCCCAGAAGTTTCTCCATCTAAAATGTAGAATTGCTCTATCCAAATCGTCCTCCTTCATAGGAATGGGCAATGAGAAACTAAACCCGTGGCTGTCAGATATGTTGAGCAATTTCTAGATAATACTGACCACAGGTCACATCTGGTTTGTTTCCCTTGGCTTTCTTAAAAGCTTAAGCTCACTGAAGAATAATTGTGCACACAAGTTTAGTTTCACTATTACTTTGCACCCTAATTACATCCTTGAGTTAGAGTTCTTTGAGGTAAACCTCACCTTTGTTGGTGCTCTCAGGAAGTCATGGTCAGGTTTTGGTGGTGCTCAAGGAAAAAGGGAGAGTCGTTAATCACCCGCAGGAGTAAAATCTGCTGTCATAATAGAGCTTTCCTTCTTCCTTCCTTGCTGATTTCTCATGTTTAGCACCATGTTAACACATTGGAAGTTTGGATGAATGGGCTTGCTCCAGAGAGCAGTAGACCACTAACTTTTCCCATTTCTTCACAGATGACTTAAGCCATAAATTAAAACCCTTGGGTGAGGCAGAAAGAGAGTTTATTTTGAATTTGAAGAAAAAAGAATGTAACGAGAGAGGTTTTGAATACGATGGAAAAATCAATGCCTGGGATCTACACTATTACATGACTCAGACAGAAGAACTCAAATACTCCATAGACCAAGAGTCCCTCAAGGAGTACTTCCCCATCGAGGTGGTCACTGAAGGCTTGCTGAACATCTACCAGGAGTTGTTGGGACTTTCCTTTGAGCAAGTGACAGATGCGCATGTTTGGAATAAAAGTGTTACACTTTACACTGTGAAGGATAAAGCTACTGGAGAAGTGTTGGGACAGTTCTACTTGGACCTGTATCCAAGGTACTGAGGATCATATTGCTGGAATTTAGGGATTCAGCTACTAATCAGTTTAAGATTCCTCCTTCCACATTTCCCATGAGTGATTCTTAGTGGAGGTGTTAAAAATGTGGGTTTTCATCACTTACTGGGCAAGTAACTTAATTTTTCTGTGCTTTAGTTTTCTTACCTATATTATAGAATCTGATAAAATGAGAATCCTTGTGGCATCTGCTTTGTAGGGTTATTGTAAAATCAAGTTGATTAGTTACCTCCAAAGCATTTGGAAGACTTCCCAGCATATAACAAGAGCTTTTACATATACTGGGGGCTATCATCATCTATTGTGTGCACTGCATTTGTTGAATTTAAAATTGACTCTAAAGATGTTTGGGTAATCTGTCTACCAGTCCTCTTAAATCTATGACCACTCCCTTCAGTCTGGCTAGGAGGCAGCACAAAAATAGTAGGAATAGCAAAATCTTTGTAGTCAATTAAACTTGAGTTTGAATGCTTGAATGACATAAACTCATTGACACTTTGCTTCTAGTAGAGAACTGATAATCCCTTTACAGAGTTGTTTGTGCATTAAAGACTACATATGCAAATTGCCCAGCCCAGCTGTCAATCTGTGATAAGAATGTAAAACATTATCATCATTTTTTTTAACATATGGCAAATGGACTCCACGATCTTCTGTCACACACAAAGGTTTTCGATCTCTTTCTCCCTAGATGAATTTATAAAACAAAGCCAACCTGTCATAATTACTAATTCATTTTACCAAATAGACCAAAGGAAATTGTAGCATCCCTCTAGTTCACTAACATATAAATTTGTAGTCCACTGACTGAATGGGGCTGGGTACCTGTGCCATCCAGTTGACAAGCACAGGTGTCCTTAGGCATCTAGATTATCCCAGAGCTTTATGGATTTACTTTCACTCATGATGTGACCTAAAAATAAAACCATGTCAACTGTAGATGGGTCTACTTTTAATTAAAAAGTGTCCAAATACAGTTTTAAGTGAAGAATTCTTTGAGTGGTAAACCTCCAACATTGGAATCTCCTATCACTATCCCAATAATCTCTCCAGTGTCAGTATAATAATTCTTGCTATCTCATCCTGCTGTCTCTCTGAGACAGAATTGGTTTCTTTTGTTCTGAGAAATCTGGTCATTGCTACCAGCACTTTGGTATCGATACCAGAGAGTAATCTTTGGTGAGGGTAGTGACCATATTAATATTTATTTCCTGTCCCCTTACATTCTCCCTTAATAACAGTGAGAGAAATTAACTTGTTTCATTTGTCAGACCAAAAAAAAAAAAAGATAGTGGGAATAAGTTTTTAAAAGACTATTTGTTTCTTTCTTTAAATCACATTTCTGTTTTTATTCATCAATACTGAGATTCTCAAACAAAACAAACACAAAAAAACCTGATGGTTATTTCAACATAAGATCACCAGGTAAAGACTTTTATTAGTCAGCATAATTTTATAAATAAAATTAGGAAAGGCCTTATCTTGGAATAAGGAAACCTTTGAAATTAAATAAATCCATATTTTTTTAAAAGAAAGATTAAAATTCCTCAAAATATCACTGATTTTAAAATTACTAGTCTTTGATTTCAAGCTAAAGTTTTAAAAATTCTTCAAATATTTTTGGGAAAAATTACTCACCTATTATCTCTCCATTGCAGTAACTCCCATTTCATTCTCAAACCAGGTATATACATTGTTTCACAATACAGCAGGAGGTATAAAACTAGCAGAATAAGGATTCCCCTATTCTGTAATTTTCCCATTTAATAAAAGATTTTTAAATTCTATTTGCCTATTTATATACTTCTAAATCATGACATAAAATCTTTGCAGGAACACTGATCGGGCTACTGAATACACAGAGGCTGAGCTGGCTGAAAATTTTAACAAATTCAATGCACAGTTTCTGGTGTATATGTCCATAGGTTCTGTCTCCCTCTGCCTTCCTTCTCTTCTGGTGTCCTGTTTGCTCCTAGCTCAGCCTTGACAGAGTTCTATTTTTATATAAGCATTTAATATAAGTAATGAAGTTTGTTCCAACAATACTTTTAAGTTGTATCCCACACAATTTGGTGTATTGTACTCTTGTTTTCATTCCAAAAAATAAGTATGTTCTACAATCTCTTGTGATTTTTCTCTTTGACCCATGCATTAACATAAACATGTATGCTTTAAGTTCTAAGTATTGGAGATTTTTCTAAAGATCTTCCCCATTATTTCTAGCTAGGGTTTGTTTTTTGTTTTGTTTTGTTTTTTGATTGGAAGATATACTTTGTATCTATTCAGTTCCTTTTAAACTCCTATGATTTATCTTATGACCAACCTTGGTGAATGTTTCATGTGCACTTGAAAAGAATGTTTATTTTGGTATTTGTTGGTGGAGTGATCTATAAATATCAACTAGATAAAATTTATCAATAGTGTTGTTAAGATCTGCATCCTCACTGATTTTTTTTTTTTTAATTTGGTCTGCCTGTTCTATTACTGAGAGAAAGAGGAAGTCTCTATATTTGTAGATTTGTCTATTTCTTCTTCAGTTCTATCAGTTTTTGCTTCATGTATTTTAAAACATTTTTTTAGGATTGTTATAACTTTTTAGGATTTTATTACTTTATCATTACATATTGTCCCTTGTTATCTTGACTAATATTCCTTGTTCAAATGTCTACTTTTTACTTAAAGTAGGCCTCTCATATAGATAATATGTAGCTGGAGCTTGTTTTGTGTGTGTGTGGATGTGTGGCACTGAGGATTGAACCCAGAACCTTTCTCATGCGAGGCAAGCTCTCTACCACTGAGATATACCCCCATCCTTCCTTTTTTCCATATTTTTTAATTGGTGCATTATAGTTATATATAATGGTGGGATTTGTTGTTACATGTTTGTATATGCACACTGTATAACAATATAATTTGGCCAATATAATTCTCCAGCATTTCTCCTTTCCCTCTTTCCCCACCCCTTTGTTCCCTTTCCTCTACGCTACCGATTTCCCTTCAATTTACATGATCTTTTTAAATTTTGAGATAAACTTAAGTTTGCCCAGCCTGGCCTCAAACTTGAGATGCTTCTGCCACAGTCTCCCAAGTAGTTCGGATTACAGGTCTGCACCACCATGCTCCCTGAGCTTGCTGGGTTTTAATCCTCTTGGATCATCTCTTTTAATTAGTGCTTATACTAATTGCATTTATGTTGCATGCTTAGAATATTCACATTTAATATAATTATTGATATGATAATATTATGCCCTATTTGTGTGTGTGTGGTACTAAAGATTGAACACAGGGGTACTCTGCCTCTGAGCTATAAACTACATCCCCATCCCTTTTTATTTTGAGAGAGGGCCTCGCTAAGTTGTTGAGGCTTGTTGTAAACTTGTGCTCTCCTGCCTCAGCCTCCCAAGTCACTGGGATTACAGGTGTGTACCATGTCACCCAACTTTTACATGTTCCATCAGTACTTTATTTTACCATTGTGTGGTCGGAGAGGGATTAAACCCAGGGCTTCTTGAGTGCTATCCAAATGGTATTTCCAGCCTCCATCTGTAGTTTTTCCTCACTTTTCTGCCTTTTGGGGGTTAGTTAAGGACTTTTATTTTAATATTTTTTAGATGTTGATAGACCTTTATTTTATTTATTTATATGTGGTGCTAAGAATCAAACCCCGTGCTTCACACATGCCAGGCAAGGGTGCTAACACTGAGTCACAGCCACAGCCCAAGTTAAGGATTTTTTATGGTTTAGTTTTATTTACACAATTGGTATATTATTTATATCTCTTTTAAAATTTTTGTTAATGGCTACCGTAGGGTTTATAATATACATCTTTGATTAATTAGGAATTGTCTTCAAGTAACATTGTACTACACCTGACATGGAATACAAGGAACTTAAGGATATATTCCCAATTTCTCCTTCTTCTCATTTATGCCATTGTTGGTACTTTCACATAAACACCCAACACATTCCTAATGTTATTGCTTTATGTAGTCATTTTTTATTCAGAGAAACTAAAAATAAATACATTTTACATGTATCTTCATCTATTCCATTTTAACACTTCATTTCTTTGTAGATCCAAGTTTTGGACTAGTAACTTATCCCCTCTGTCTGAAGAACTTCCTTTAAAATGTCTTCCAGTTCAGAGCTGAGCATGGAAGTACATGCCTTAATCCCAGTAACTCAGAAAACAGAGGTAGGAAGATTGCAAGTTCAAGTCCAACTCAGCAACTTAGCAAGACCCTATCTCAATATTTTAAAAGTTCTGGGGATGTGCTCATTAGTAAAATAATTCAATCCTCAGTAACAAAAATAAATAAATAAATAAATAAATAAATAAATAATGTTTATAAAGCCTTATCAAGCAACCATGGTCTGAAACTATGACCCAAAATAAACCTTTTATCCTTCTTTTAAAAAGGGGGGGGGGGGCCTGGGGCTCAGCAATAGAGTGCTCGCCTAGCACATGTGAGGCACTGGGGTTCGATCCTCAGTACCGCATAAAAATAATAAATAAAATAGAGGTATAAAAAAAGGAAAAGAAACTATTAGAAAAAATTTTAAAAAAAGGTCTAATCATTCAAGCATATTGACACTGTAGTGTTTTAAGTTTTTGTCGGTCTGAAAAGTCTTTATTTTTCTAGAAGATTTTTTATACAGTTTTTTTTTTTTAGTTGGACACAATACCTTTATTTTGTTTATTTATTTTTATGTGGTGCTGAGCATTGAACCCAGTGCTTCACAGGTGTGAGGCAAGTGCTCTACCACTGAGCCACAACCAAGCCCCTTATACAGGTGTTTTCTTTCGGTCCTTTAAAGACATTATTCTGCTGTCTTATGACTTGTATAGTTTCAAATAAGAAGTCTGTTGTGATTCTTGTCCCTCTGTACATACTATGCTTTTTTCTTTTGACTGCCTTCAAGATCCCCTGTTATGGCTGGAGTTGTGGCTCTGTGGTAGAGTGTTTGCCTTGCATGCATGAGGCCTGGGTTTCAATCCCTAACACCAGTGGTACAGCAGGTAAGAGCCTCTGTTTACCACTCATTTTGGGCAGCTTCAATATATTTATGGTGGTGTGCTTTATCCTTCTTTGAGTTTCTTCTACCTGTGGTTTGGTGTTAATTTTAGAAAACTCTTGAGTATTATTTCTTCAAATGTTTCTTCTTTTCTCTCTTTCTCTTTCTAAGATCCCAGTTACACATATAGAATATCATTTGACATTACCCTGTGACTCTTGATGTTGTGTTCTGTTTTGTTTTCATCATCCTTTTAAAAAATTTTTTTATGTTAGGGTAATTTATTTTTTGGTTCAGTGATTATTTCCTTGACTGTGTCAAGCCTGCTTAATGAGTTTGTCAAAAGCATTCTTCATCTCTGTTACTGTATTTTCCATTTCTAGCATTTGTACTTGATTCTTTCTTAAAATTTTCAGCTTTCTGCAAAAATTATTCATCTAAGCTGGGCATGGTGGTACATGCCTGTAATCCCAACAATTTAGCAAGATCCTAAGCAATTTAGCAAGACCCTGTCTCAAAATGAAAAGTAAAAACGGCCAGGATGTGGCTCAGTGGTTAAGCACCCTAGGTTCAATCCCCAGTACTAAATATATATATGTATATATGTATCTCCATCTGCTGATATATAGTATCCACTGTTTCCTCCTTTTAACATACTGGTCTGAGTTAAACACTCCAATTGCTCCAACATCTTTGTCATTTCTGAATCTGGTTCTCTTGTTTGCTTTGCCTCCTGATAGTATATTCTTTTTTCCTTTGCATCTTTGTACTGCATTACTATTTTTTGAAAGCCAGACATTTGTATAGGATAGTAAAGGTTGAGGGAAATAGCTGTATGTCTAAAAATAGCCACATATTTTCTTCTGTGAGACTTTTAATATGAGGGTTTGATTCATTTAATAATCAAACTAGGTTTGACTACTAAATGCTGCCATGATTAACCTTGATAAGCTACAGCTTCAGTTTCCTCTGTCTTGTGTTTAGGATGGGGATTGATTTACCAGGGTTTTCTCAGTGTCTGTTTTAACCTCAATATTAAGGTTTCCCTTCGTGCTCAGTCTTAATCACAAAGTGAGCTCTGTGTCCGTGAGTCCTAGGAGTTGCTTCACCCTTGGCTGTAGGTCTGCACCCATGATGTATTTCTGCCCTTTCTCCAGGGGTGGAGGCTTTTTTTCTGTTCCCTTTTCTAGCTGGCAGTGGATTTTCACCACAGCTCTAAAAGCAATAGGATTCATTGCCCTTCTCCTAGAGCTTGGAGGCTTTCGTTCTGTAGGAGAGGTGAAGAGGACCCAAAGAGAACCTTCTGCCCTGATCACAGCAGCCTTTGCTTTCTCAGGGCTATCACCCTGCCCCTTGCCTCTTCTGTGTGCACTCATTGAGGTCTTGGAGAAGTCTTGCAAATGGATGCAAAATTTCCCTTGTCTCTAGTAGTTCCCTATTGAGGCTGACCTACCATCAACCTTTGGCAATTTGCTAAAACTTCCTCTTACTAATATCTTCAGTGTCTATCCTAGGTTAAAAAAAAAAAAAAAGTTTGCTGTCTTCCTCTCTCCTTGGAGGCACCAGTCCTAGATTGTGGGTTAGTTGGTTGCCCTTCAACCTCATTTCTCTGAAGGGTTCAAGAAAAGCTGGGATTTGCAGATTGTCCAGCCTGTCATTGTTGTTGTACAAACAACAGTCCTTTCCAGCTGTATGTCTAACTAGGAAGCTGGGAAACTTTTTTGTTGTTGTTTGTTTTAATTTGCATGGCATCAGCAGTGGGTACAGGGTGGGGGGAAAGGAAATAAGAGTCACTAAGAAAATATAGTACAGAGAAAAAAATACAAATAAAAAAATAAAACTGGGCTGGAGTCATGTATGGCTCAGTGGTAGAACGCTTGCCTGGCATGTGTGAGGCACTGGGTTTGATTCTCAGAACCATAGATAGATAGATAGATAGATAGATAGATAGATAGATAGATAGATAGATAGATAGATAGATAGATGACAACAACTAAAAAATAAAAACAAAAAAGCTCTCCAAACCTGAATGCTATTCTTCTCACTTTCCCACCAGCAAAAAAGAAAAAAACCTACACTTAGACTGTGGTTTAATGGCATTTAGCTTTGGGAGAGACCATCATCACTCCAAGAATAAATGACCTCATAGTATAATTTATACTTTTTCCCAGGCTAATTAAAAGCACTCTATTTCCAAAAAGCCCTATCTTGTTTATAAAAGAAGCTCATTTAATTGTGACTACTGAGTCTTTCCTCCTCAAACAAAAGGAAAAACCTTCTTTTCTGGAGGTTAGTATTTTAGCAATTTTAGTTAGAAGGAAGAAAACTACCTAGTCAGTCAAATTGTATCTTTTATTTTAAATTTGCTTCAATATTATGTAATGTTTAGTGTCTGTATCTGAAGAAGAAAAGTAGGGGCTTATTAAAATAACTTGGACAGGACAGTGGATATCGCTCAGTAATAGAGCACTTGACTAACATTGGTTCAATCCCTAGTATTGGGGGGGGGGGAGACATTTACTGCCTACTAGGTGTAGTTTACATTCTTCGTATATGAGATTTTTCAACAAAAGAAATCTTAGTAATATAATCACCCAAAGTGATAATGGGGTTATTGTTTGCTTGGTTTTTATTTTTTTCATTTTAGCAAAACAGCCTGCTTTCTAAAAAGTGAATTCAGGGTTTGCAAGTGTTTTCTTCTGTTGAATATGGCTTAATGACTGGAGGAGGCCACACCAATACTGTTGCTAGAGAAGCTTTCATTCCTCACCTCTGTGTGTCTGTGGTTCCCAGGGAAGGAAAATACAATCATGCAGCATGCTTTGGTCTTCAACCTGGCTGCCTTCTCCCTGATGGGAACCGGATGATGTCTGTGGCTGCCCTTGTGGTAAACTTCTCACAGCCAGTAGCAGGTCGCCCCTCTCTCCTGAGGCATGATGAGGTGAGGACTTACTTCCATGAATTTGGTCATGTCATGCATCAGATCTGTGCACAGGTGAGTAATTTCTTTTTTCTAGTCAATTAGTTGCTGTAATAATATAAACATGTGCAAGAATTTCGTAGGCCTGTAAAAACACAGTTTCCCTTATCACGCCCTCTTTCACAACCTAATTTTTCTCAGAGGTTAATCCACCAATGAAAGAGCTTTGTGAATACCCACTGTGGAGAAAGAAAGACGACCATCATTAGGAAGTGTTACAAATACTGTGCTCTTTTCTTTTAAGTTTTTCCTTCTCTGTAGGAATTTGCTGTAAACCTCACAGATAAATTGTGCTATAATCTGTCCCTTCTGCTTATTAACGGTTTTTTCAGTTTGATGGCTTTTAGTCCTCTCAGGCCCCTTTACTCCTGTCCTAATAATAAATGTTTGTAACAGCTCCCTTATTAGCCTCAAATTTGAATCATAGACAATATGCTAAAACCATGCAGAGAATTTTCCAGGAAACATTTGTGTACGTGCAATGGATTAAAACTAATTTCTTTACTGCTGAAAATGAAAAGTACATTTATTTCAAAAAAAGAAAAGTACATTTATCTCTAGGCCTGGGTTTCATCTCTAGCAATAATAATTATAATAATAATAAAGTATACTTATGATCAACTTTGCAATACAGTCCATTTAACTAAGCTCAAGCTATTCTGGTTAGAGCCTTCTGAACTTGCTAATGTTTAACTATTATTAACATGAAAAATCTTTGGTCAGATATTTAGCCTAATAGTTTAAATACACTGATATTAACAGAAATGGAGGGACAGTTGTCTAAATTTGGAATCTGTGTCTATAAAAATAAACTTTTTAAGATAACATTTTTACTACAATCATTTATTTATTTATTATTTATTTATTTATTTATTGGTACTGGAAATTGAACCCAGGGGTGCTTAACCACTGAGCCACATCCCCAGCCCTTTTTATTTTTATTTTATTGCTTAGAGCCTCAGTAAATTGCTGAGACTGGCCTTGATCTTGCAAACCTCCTGCCTTAGCCTCACCAGTTGCTGGGATTACAGGAGCATACCACCACACCCAGCTTATAATAGTTCTAAATTTACAAAAACGTTACAAAAATTGTCTATGTACTTCTTCCTGTTTCCCCTTAAACATGTTGCCTTACTGCAGTACATCTATCACAACTAAGAAGACAGTATTGTCACAGTATTCCTAATACCATGTTTTATTGGAATTTTACTAGATTTTCTCTAATAATCATTCTCTATACAGGGAGTCTTCCTAAATCATAGTACAATGTCCTCCTCATGAACACAAAAAATAATAATATTTTTGTTTTCCAACAGTTAATGCTTGGGTGTGACTATGCAGTAAAACATACTAAAGTATTGGAAGACTCATGTAAATAAACCCTGAATGGAGCAGCAACAACTATAGACAGAAGTATTTTGTGTTATCTGCATAAGTCCAAGAATGATGTTGCCTATGGTAACATGACATAATTTTCTATGACAAACACCTCCTTGGAAACTCCTAAGAAAGAAAGTAATATAACTTGGATTTACACGGTGGATCCTAGTATTTGTACTCTTGGAAATTTAAATTGTGTAAAAAATGCTTTTCAAAATGTGTACAGTGGAGGGGCTGGGATTGTGGCTCAGTGGTAGAGCACTCACCTAGCACGTGTGAGGCACTGGGTTCGATCCTCAGCACCACATAAAAATAAATAAAATAAAGGTATTGTGCCCAACTACAGATATATATATATTTTAATGTGTACAGTAGAGTTAGTTTTGAGGCTTGCCTAGTTAACAGTTTTTTGTTTTTATGAATCACTGGCAGGGAAACTTGAATAACAAGCAGAAAATGGAATATCTTAAGTTTGTTTTGTTCTCCTGGCCTGTGTGGGATCAGCTTTGGGCATTCTGTATCCTTAGCCCACAGAACAACCCCTATGTATTGTAATAATCAAGTATTCATCATTTCCCAAATACCATCACTTCTATTTGAAATGATTTAGTTCTCTCAACATCTTATCTTTATATATTAGTGCTTTCATCTTTTATTTAAAAAGCAGGGCTGAGGTATAGTACAGTGGTAGACTATGTGCTTACCACTCATCCCCAGCACCAAGCAAACAAACAACAATATTATAATTTAAATAAGTGGAAGAGAATAGGATAGAGGTCTATCCAGAAAAATAAGTCCTGATATAGCCAATTTTACCCTCTCTTTAACCCAGGAAAACTTTCAGTATAATCTAAACCTTCTTGCATAGATAATTTTAAAGTCTATTATCATGGCACTGGAGTTTCAGAAATAGTTATCATATGGAACTTCTATCAGTGTCCATTGTGTGGCTTGACATTTCCTTTAATTCTGATAACTCCAGGTTTCATTGTCTAAAATACTTTTATGAAACATCAAAACTTCTAAATTTTAGACTCATGGTATATTAGCTAGATTAGCTAAGATCCAATTATTTATTAGTACACATATAATGGTGTGCTTTTAAAAAGATGGATCCTCCCTGTTTTGGATTTGAAGACCCTATGAAAATCTGATTTAAGCCATGAGTACCCCTTCTACAAAAATGCAAACACCCTCAAGTACCCAGAATTATACACGGTGTTCTAAAGGCTCATGGACCCCTTGATATCCAGACTATAATGACTCCAAAGTTAAGAACTCCTGACATATAACAGTCTCCTTCTGGATATTGATTATTGGCTAGAAGTTTCACAAGGAAGTAATTTGGTGTCTTAATCACATTCATTAAAATATATAGTATTCTTCAAACAGGATTTTTTATTGCTTTTGATGATTGTTCTTTTTGCAGGCATAGTTCTCTTATCTTAGTATCATATGCTTACCAGGTATTCATGGTACAGTTCTCCACAATTCTCATTATTTCTTACATTATTTTTTCCCTCTTTTGTGTGTATGGTGTGTGGGGGGATGCTGGGGATTTACCTCAGAAGTGCTCTACCACTGAGCTATACTCCCATCCATCTTTCTTTCTTTATTTTTTTATTTTTAGACAGGGTCTTAGTAAGGCTAGCCTTGAACTTGCATCTTCCTGCCTTAGTCTCTCAAGTTGCTGGGATTACAGGTCGTCACTGCGACCAGCTTCTTACATTATTTTGATCCTTTGAGATACCTACTTTAATGCTGGAAAATATTTTTAATTTGATATTATGACATTATTATGTTCACTCATGTGTCAAATAGCCCAAATGTCATAATATACATCATGTTCACCAGTTTGGTGTCTTTCACTTGAAACAGTAGACTGTATTCAATTCTGGAAGTTTTGCCGAATCTCATCCATGAGCACAGTTTGTGTCATATGATGAATAGTGTTTGGTACAATCCTTTGCTTGGTCATCTCTTCATGAGATTATCTTTGAAAAATCTTTTTGTCTATTCATTCTTTTAAATGTCATGTAATATTTTAAGAACTTTTTAGTAATCTTATTTAGAGTCAATGATCACTACTTTGGTTTTTTGTAGGCACAGATCCATATATTGACAGCTTAAATAATAAGTTTAAAACCTTTTGTTCTGACAAAATGGATGGTAATGAATAAGAAAAACCATAATTTTTATGTTCAATAATACTGCTGACATCTGATAAATGTATAGTGAATAATAAATTTGCCATATGTATTCAGTACATCAGTTTTAGGACATGGTAGTTCACCATCTGAGTTCTCCACTGTGACAGATGTAATGACCAGAAGAAATCATTTGAGTTTGTCACAGCAATATTTAAATATGTTAGCAGGAACGTCCAGTTTTCAAACATGCAGATACGCTAGTTCAATGTGTCTGCTAGCTCATTTTTCAGGAGTTGAGTTTCATTCATATTTTCTTGAGTTTACACTGCAAGGTGGGTAATTTTGAAGATAACAACCAAGAGGAGATATCACAGGTATCTGTTCCTATTTCCTGATTTTATTGTGGTTTGGGCTCTCAGTAATCACTGGCCTTTGGAACTTCTGTAGAATAGAAGAAAATGCCTTTACTAATGTCCATTGTGGTGCCTTTGTTAGGTTGTGCATTAAGAGCAGTAATGAGCATGCCTGTAATCCCAGGAATTCAGGAGGCTGAGATAGGCTGAGGAAAGAGGATTACAAGTTCAAGGTCAGCCTGGGCAATTTAGGTAGACCCTGTCTTGGAATAGAATTAAAAGGAAAAAAAAAAAAAAAAGCGTTGGGGATATAGTTCAGTCGTAGAGTGTTTTCCTAGCATGAATAAAGGCTGTGGGTTCAATCCCCAGTACTATGTTTTTTGAAAAACAACATAATGAGTTTTGAACTGTAAAGATAATTTTTTTAAGGAAACTTTAGGCTTCTTAACTAAACATGAGAGGGACAAACCATCAGAAAAACTTGGAATTATGTGATTTGAAATAATCTATAAGCTTGATCAAAAGACTAATAGTGCATCTTGGTGGTTTTTTGTTTGTTTGTTTTAGTTGTAGTTGGACACAATACCTTTATTTTATTTATTTTTATGTGGTGCTGAGGATCGAACCCAGGGCTTCGCACATGTGAGGCGAGCTTAAATGGTATTATTCAGAGGGGCACACTGGTGTTATGACAAGAACACTGGATTAGCCTCCCATGGTGTCGCGTACCAGTAGTCCCGCTACTCTGGAGGTTGAGGCAGGAGGATCACAAGTTCAAGGTCACCTGAGCAATTTAGCAAGATCCTGTCTCAAAATAAAAAATAAAAAGGACTGGGGATGTAGCTCAGTAGTACAGTACCCAATTCTCAGTGCAAAAAAAAAAAAGGAAGAGAAGAAAGAAAGAATACTAGATTTAAAAGCATCTGTACTTTGTGGGTCTACCTGTATAACTTTTGGCAAGTTATCTGACCACTTTGACCATCTTATTTTTCTTATTCATAAAATGGAACAACAGTGATTTTCTTATCTACTTACTTCATTTTGGGGGAAATTAAATAAATATGTGGAAAAGTACTTAGAAAAGCATAAGTATTTGAAGTATTCTCTTAAAAAAATTTATTTTGAAGTATTC